AAGAAGGAGACGTGGCTCTTCTCCCGCTTCTCCACCGGCTGGAGCTGCGGGCTGCACGCCGACTGGACGGAGCTCACCAACTGCGTGCCGGCCATCATGGAGAAGAAGGACTGTCCCCGCAACCACAGCCACACCAGGTACTGTCCCCTGCCCCGTCTCAGTTCTTCACCTCCCACCCCCACCCAGTCCCTCTTCTTCAGTCCTGACCCAGAGCGACCCCGCGCTCCCTGCCCCTGCTGATGGTTTCCTGGCGTCTTGGGCGGTTGGCGCCGTGGCTTTGGGGAGGGATGAGAGACGTCTGGATAGTGCCCAGGTCCTGAACTCGTTCTTCCCCCAGTCCCCACCGCTTCCCGCCACCCCTCTGCCTTCACCCTCTAAGGTGTGCGGAGCCACCGTGTGGATCCTGCCTGGTGCCTATAGCACAGCCTGGCCTCCCTCCCAGTGGACGCTGGAAAAACGCCCTGAAATGGGGAGGGGATCGCGGTCTGGGTTAGACCAGCCTTGCAAAATTGTGAACTTAAGTTTTGGGAGTGCAAACCCAAACCCAGGAAAAAGAAGGGGGAGTAGAGAGGCAAGGCAGGAGTTTTCCAGGTATGGTGAAGCTGGAGACGAATATGATCCTTCTATAAGTGGCTTTTGGGTGGCAGCTCAGGAAACAGTCAATCCTCTTGGTGACACTTTGAAGAGACACGTGCAAATTTCTGCTTTACCTCGATAGATAACTCTAATTCTGGAGATGGTCTTTGTTGCCCAGCAGTGCCAGGATTTGGACTCACCTGTCCTCAGAAAGATTTCCATGCTCTTCCTAGGCCATTACATCAACTTATTCCAAAAGTACCTATTAAATGCCTACAGGGTGCCTGACAGTGTACTAAGTGCTAAGTGAGTATAAAGATAAAATAACATCCCTTGTTTTCAGGATGGAATGACATTCTTGATCCCCTGCCTCCTAGCCTTAAAAAACAGTAATACAGTGGAGAATTCGGAAAGTTAAAAATCTTAATAGCCAATGAAACTGCTTACATTATTAACATGCTTTGAGAGAGACATGGGCTTAAGAATTTGGTTGAAGGTTCTTTCTGCCCATTGCAGTTCGAAGATTAATCTGACATGCTTGCTCAAGGACGAAAATATTAAAAGCTTGGAACACTAGTTCATTGAAGTTTTTATCTTAAAGGTTTCAAACAATTTGGTATGAGGAAATAGGATTTTAAAAGCTCAAGCTCATTATGTTGATAGCACAGATAGCTTTTGCATTTGACGTTATAGAAAAGCTTCATTTACTGGAAGCTACCCAGATTCTGGAATTCACCACCACTGAAGCATCTAATTCTACTTCATTTCTCCAAGAATGAGCGAAATTTCATTATGGGATTTTTTACTCTGGCAATTTTTCAAATACTTTCCCTCCTCCCTGCTCCTTTTCCTGTTTCATGCACATTGGTTAGAATAAGAAACTGGATTTAGAATGAGGGCATTAGGGTCTTCACCTAGTATATTTTACAGATCCTTTGCTTTTAAATATTTTTAATAGTGTATTACTTTAGATCCTGCCACTCTCTTTTAGCTTAAAACAGTTTTTCAGTTAAGTATTACTTCCAAACCTCCTAACACATAACATGATTACTTCAGTGAGACACAACTTCTGCTACAGTGAGACACAATTTCTGCTACATTTCATCCAACCTTGTACTCCGTTTAGATTAATTCCTGATTGACCCCAAAGAGTTTGCTAGACTGCTTCCCAGCTTCCATTTCACTAAAACTGGAGTCTTACTGATTATCACATAGAAAAGTCTGATTACTCTTCAGTAGGGGCTGGCATTATTTTTGTCCCATGTACTTAAAAGTCTTAGTAAATAGATGAAAATTTTAGAGGACTTAGAAGAGGATGTGGAATCTAAAAATAATTAGATTTTTGCTTAGTGATGAATAATGCTACTACAGACCCTGAATAGGTGACAAGCAGTAAGGTCTCACTTCTATAGGAAATACTTAATATCTCTTTATTCTGTGACATAGGAAAACTCTACCGTGACTGTTTAAACACATAATTTCTAGTGTATGATCAAATTATTTTCTTTGTTTAGTAATGGAGCATAAACATTCATTTCTCCCTGAATCACAAGTTAGCAGACAATTAGTCACCCTGTTCTGGTTTCCTTTTCTTTCTTAAAAAACACATTTTTGGTAGTATCTTGTTTTTACCTCATTTTATAATCCTTCTTTCTTTTCCTTCCCACCCTCTCTCTCTTCCCAGTAATTCTCAATTACTTCCTTGCTCTAGATACTGTAGGAGGGAATAGTTGTGGCATATGTGAAGTGCTCTGCATCAAAAGCTATAGGGAAAAAGTTGAAAGGATGTTAACAGTAGCATCTCTCTAGCAGAGTAGATTGAATTAGTTGTCCGTCATTGTAATGTCTGTGTACAGCATTCTACAGTCAACTAGATTAGCCTGGATAATGGAGGGTACATTTTCACAATGCAAAATGGCAGATAATCTATTGGTACATAATGGAAACAAGGTTCTACTTCAAATAGGGCTGACTCTAAGCAAAATTGATAAGCAGATCTTGTTGATTTCGGTTCCCTAGTCTTTCTGCTTTTGATTCCCGCAAAGCGTCTCCCAATTTCACTCAGAGATCAATACCCTTATGGATCACATAATGGGTAAGAGTAAGGATTCTGGAATCAGATAAGTATGGCTCTTGTACTTACTAGCCGTGTACCCAGGAGTAAGTTACTCTTTCTGAGTCTCAGTTTCTTCACTTTTAAAGTGTAGATAATAATTAGTATGGCCATTATATTATAGGGGTGTTGTGAGAACTAAATGAATCAATGCGTACAAAATGCTTAGCATAGTATATATGCATAGTATAATATGCTGGCATATTGTACTTACTATGTGGATATATAGTAATAGTGCAATATCAGTTGTTAATTGCAATAATAGGTTCCCTATTCAAGGCTTTCTTCCTAAAAAACCATGAGGTCAATTTGTTAGAGAAGCTCTGTATAAATGAGTCACCTTACAGAGATACCATTTTATGATTACTTGTACTAAGCACCCTAGGTTGCAAACTTAAACAATAAGTTGAAATTATGGACATTTGGTCATCAGTCTTTGTAGGGGAGAAGGTGGAAACAAAGTTAGGGGCACACAATATAATTGGATATACATTCCTTTGGTAACACAAAAAACTATCTGGAATGGTGAGAGAGGAGCTGAGAACATCTAGGACTGAAGGCAGAAGAAGGAAGCCAACTCGGAAGAGAAATACGTGGCAAACCTGAAGGGGCCATCATATGGATTATGTGGGCCATGAAGGGGCAGGACCTTGGGCTGGTGGTTTGAATCCAGCACAGAGATAACTTCTGACCACAGAAACTGGTTGGAATAGGATGATGGCATATCGGAATCACCTCTTTTATCATATCACTGATGGTTTTTTCCCGTTATTTTTGTGGTGCTTTTCCCCCAGTTACTTTTTTTTTTTTGGCAGGTTATTCTTTCTCACTCTCTTTATGCTTCCTTCTTTATTACTGTATACCCATTTATCTGCATGTCCAAAGCCTTAAAAGACTCCTTTTTAGCATTCTTGAGTATGTATAGAATCATAGCATTTTATGGCTAAAAAGGACTGAAGAGAGAATCTAGTCCCACATTTTTCACGGGGAATGTAACCATAAAAAGGTGAAATGACATACCTAAGGTTTCTTGAGGGAATTCATGTCTTCATTTTCATAATTTATATTCAATGTTTTGCTTACTATATATCTTCTGTTTACTATGGAAAGTATAGTGGAGTGTGCCTTAAGCACCTACTTACTATGTGCCGGGCACTACGATAGTTCTGGGAATTGCGTTGTAAACATTGGCAGCCCTGTGTAGCCTAGGCTTCATCTTTGGTAAGTGAGTATCACTCCCATTCTTAAATAATGATGGAAAGATATTCTATCTGCATCATTTTGTAAGATAGGATGGCAATTTTTCTCTTTTATGACCTGCACTCCGTTAGTTTTGTTAGAATAGTTTGAACCCTGTGGATGTTATATTAAATAGGACCTTCTGTGTTGCAAGTTATACAAACCTAATTCAAACTTATTTCAGCCAGAGGGGAATTATTGGCTAACCCAGTCACACCACAGGAAGGTGGGGGAGAGGTGGTTTCAGGAATGACTGGACCTGGAGATTTGGGGTCTTTCTTCCCATACTCCTTTGCATATTGATCTCATTCTGTCAAATTGGCCAATTCCACAAGGTGGGCAAATGCTTTTCATGTCTAATAGCTCCACAAGCCGAGAGGGAAGCAGGCCTTCTCTGAGTTCCAGTTTGAAATTTTTGGGAATGACTCTGATTAGCCCAGCTTGGAACTTGTGACTATTCTTTCAGTCAATCATTGTGGCCAGGGAGAGAGATAAGGTTATCTGAGTCACCTTGTATCACAGAACCATTTATATGACTGGGGTGTGTGTGTGTGTGTGTGTGTGTGTGTGTATGTGTGTATGTGTGTTATTAGGAAGAAGAGGAGCTACCATAGATACAGCTCCTGGATGGACCACCTTGTA